ATTTCTCAGCTTGTTGTGAATGAGCCTCTCTAAAAATAATAGAGGAGGAATGATCTAGGAATGATCTAAGAAAATACACTTTCCTTCTGTATGCTTGCTACTTCTCCTCCTCTTTCTATTTGTTCTCCTTAGCGTGTTCTTTGTTCTCCCCAAGGGAAGGAGAGACGTAGTATTTTCTTGTTTAGTTTGGCTCTCCAGATGATCTTCACCTGCTTTACGAGACCACAGCCTAGAAAACAGAGCCTTGTTGTTTATTGCCCAGCAGCATTATTTTTCTTAATGAGAAATGTAATGCGTCTGAAGTGCATGGGCCTGATAACAGATAGAGAGATCAAAGGCTTCTGAGAGTTGATGGCCCAGCTATAATCAGGGTGATTGGAGTGCAGGTGTTTCCCACACAGATGTGCAGAAAGTGCCTTTTTAGCCATGATACACCATGCACACGTTCCACTCGTCCTGTGAAGTAAGGCAACTTTGAATGGTGGCCATCTTGCTAAAAGAGTGTGTGTTTTCTAATGGCATAGGAGCTATTAGTTAATATGAGGCTATAAGGGACACTAGGAGATGGTCCAATAGAACTAGAATGATCACTGTCTGTGTCACTTTGAATGCAGTACTGATGGCACTAGGTGTGATCAGAATTTGTCCTCCAATGTGCCCTAAGACTGAGGTTTTAAGGTCAGTTGGGTGTGCCATGATGTAGTGTGAAAATCCAAATTTGGCTTCTAAAATCAGTACCTGGCAGATGCGGGATCATTGTGAAGTCAGCAGAGAAGAGGTGATGGCATGGCAAGGTGATTCAGAAGGGACCTCCATCTGGTTGATGATCATAATAGTGCTCCAGAAGGATCCATGATCAGCCCTTTCCTGCTGTGGAAAGGTACTGGATTGACAGCCTGGGTAATTGAAATCCTTTATTTATAGAGCAAGTGTAGCACAGAGAAGAGTAGTTAAAAATTTACCCAACCCCATTCCCTTCATCAGCTGTGATCCGTAGGACCCTTCTCTGGTGAGAAGGTCGCTGAGGCTCCATTCCATGCTCATTCAGTCCTTGCTCTCTATTCTGAGACTGCTCTCAAAGGGAAGGCAAATGGGATGGTGGTTTTAATGGTGTAGATATCTGTTCGCTAGGAGTTGGACTGATATCACCAACTTGTTACATATAGGCTACTGAACAGGGATTGCCAGTAACTGGCAACTTTTTTGACAGTGCGGGAGAGATGGAGGTATAGGGTAGGCGCAGCTAGGGTTCTGGAAACCTATGGAGGAGGAGCTCCTCGTTGGCATGGTGCTGTAGTTGGAAGGATTTTGGTCTTGTGCGATTAAAAGGTGAGAGGGAGGGCCAAATTGTTCCCCCAATAAGTAGCATTGATCTAATAGCTAGAATGGGGGACTGTCAATCAGGACACCTGGGCCCTATTCTCCACTCTGATGCTGATTCGCTGAGTGACCTGGAGTATGTACTTTAATCCTTGTGCCTCAGTTTCCCCATCTAAAAACTAGGAATCATTATTCAGCTCTTTGTAAATACTTTGAACCAATAAGGTGCCTCTTATGATAGATATTATATATTAATGATAGTACTTAGCATTTACATAAAAGTGTATCTTGTGTAAGGGTGGGATAGGGCAGGGATAGCTATTCACTCCTCCACCTTTCCTCCCTTCCCTACTCCACCCACCGCATTAATACACCCTCGATGTGGCTTTCCATCTTCTATTCACACCCTTCAACTCACCATCCCTACCTGGGTTGAAAACTGGACCCAACTGCTTCTGTGCTTGCTGGGCTTGACTCCACTCTGCTGCCACATCTGCGGCCCTCTCACTGAAGCCTACTTCATTATCACACTAGGGAGACTAGAGGGCAGTCTGTGAGACAGCTTAGGCCCTAGCACTGGAGTAAACAGGGAGGAGTTGCAAGCAAAACTGTAAAAATTCCAAACTGTTTGTGTGCAGATAATTCCTGAGGAGAAAAGAAGAGCTCAGTTTGCTGAATAAATTATTGGTTGTAAACTGGCTAGACTCGACCATCTAGAGTTGAATTTGAACGACAGGCAAAATAATCCGTGTACTACATTAACTGCAATGTGTTTGTTCATTCATTCTTAGAGACCAAACTGCAGCAAGAAATGAGAGTCTTAAATGAGATTTTGTGCTTGCATGTGTCTGTGGGAGCCTCTTTAGTTATTAAAATGCTCTGGATACAGACTAACTTCTTTTTCTTAATATATCATTGTTTCACTCCCCTTGAGCTGCACACTGTTTGGGGGAGACAGTGAAAGGTTGCCTGGCTTTTCTGTAATTCTTGTAAGTAAGTCTGTGTTCTCTGTTGAACAGCTGTTGGATAACTTCTTACAGTAGTACTCCTCAGAGGGCAGTATAACTCACATCCCTGCGCTTCCTATAGAAACGGTACCATTTCTCCCATGGGAGAAGCACAGTCCTGTCACAAGCTATGGTAAATTAGGATACTTGACCTCCCTACCATGACAAGTAATAGATCTTTGTCTTTAAATTGCTGGCCTAAAAATGTGCGGGTTTTACTTATGTTGGGAGGCTCCCATTTAAACAGAAGAGATTATGAAAAGCTGAATGTGGCAAATAAATAGAAATACCACACAAGAGTAAGGTTAACCTGGAGAAACTTAATAAAAGGGAGTATCCTCAATTAACCGTGAGTCCATGAGTTTCTTTTCTCTCAAAGTGTTTTGTAAAATATGACAAGAATATGCATTTTTTCCCAATAATAATCCTAAACTAACTATTGCTGTATAATAATATTAGATGAATATAAAGCTATATGGCAGAGGTTAAACGGTTATTTATTTGGAAATAATGGATTATTGTTCAGAAGTTTTTTTAACTTAATAGGGTATTTAAGAACAAATACAGGTAGGGAAATATCCTCTTGGCTTTGAGAACAAAGCCCTAATCCTATAGAGACTTATGCTCATTCTTGATTTTAACTCTCATCCTTAACGTTAAGCATGTGCCTGTGTTTTTGCAGGATCAGGATCCACGTGTGTAAAGCAGGAAAGCTCATGTGATCTTCCTTGACCTTCAGGTCCCCTCATCCCTTTTCTTTTCTTTTCTTTTCTTTTCTTTTCTTTTGAAACATAGGTGATGAGAGTTAGCAGATTATTACTGTGACTCTTGGACCTGAGTTTTCCCAAAGTGCTTTCCCATATTCCCACTTTTTTAGTTTCCAGAAAAAGTTAGGAATAACCTTCTAATAAACATACAGATTGGGGAAACAGAAAGGAGACATCAGGGGAACAGTTATGTTTTGGGGTGAAAGAAAGCAATGATACACCGATCCTCCCTTACAACCATTGTTCTTGAAAACTGGTTGAGAGCACAAAGGCAGCCCTGAACTTTGCATAAAAGCAATGTTAGCCTTTTAGTATTTTTAATCCCTGGGTACATCAGTGGATTTTTTCCATCCATTCCCTCCTATGCCCCTCCCTTCTTTGTAACTGGATTAATCGTTACAAACAATAAGAGAGAATGTCTGGAAACTTCATTGCCAGATGCTAATGACAGCTGTGATTTCAAATAATGAGTCAGTTGAAGAGTACTGCCCCAGAAACAGGGACTCTATTACAAGCATCTATATCCAGTGCAGATACATTAGGTTCAAATAAACATATTATGATTCAAGTTTGTTATGTGTTAAAGTAAATTTGAGCTTTGTGAAAAATACTAGAATTGCATCTCAGGGGACCTCTCTACTAAACAGTACAGGCAACAGAATCGCCAGCTACCCCTACTACTTTGCCAATGTGCCTAACCTTTTATCTGGAGAAAATCATGTCTAGGAAGGAATGAAAGTTTTCATGGCCATTTGTTCTTTGGTGTGTCTCCAGAGACTTCAGACTAGTGGTGGGCAGAAGTGGAAAAATTCATCGTTTTGTCGTGGATAAGAATTCAGACAATTGTTTGTACCTCTGAGGGTTTTATCATCGTGAGATCAGTCTTTCATCATGAGATTTTCAGTACTTCCTAGCTGAAGCGTGGTCTGAAACGCTGTACCAAGTGAGGCCACAAGCATTCTTTGTAAATGCAAATGCCAGGGCTCAGAAGAAAAGTGTGAGTGTTAACAAACATATTTATTCTGTGGTATCTGGTTAGACTGATGCAGATGATGTGGAAACAAGCCTATATTTTTTCTACATCTGAAGCAGATAAAGAATCTCACTTCATTACCTGAGAAGCCAGAAGGAGCCATTGCATCAGATTCAGGAAACGATAGCTCCCTCCCCAAAGCTATCCAGAGTAAAGAGAAGACAGTGTGGTCTTATTCTTACTTGGAGGCAATACTGTCCTTTTCCCTCCCCACCCCACCCCACCCTTCCTCTGTCATTTGTTTGTGGTTATGATAAAAACACCTCTGAGGTGGTCTACATCAGCAGTGCCATTGTTATTAGCAGCAGTGGAACTGCACTGTTGCCCAGTCAACAGTGACTGAACGTGTTTCTGAACATGTTTAGGGTAGAAATGTTCAATGCAGATACAGCCTGGTGGTGGAAAGGCATTAGATTTAGACTGGACAAAGTTTCTTGTAATTCTTTCTTGTTTGGTTGGGTGCATTTTTTTCTTTTTTTTAATCAGTGTTTTCTTCCCATTCTTTTACAGTCTGTCTTTGGGGATAACATATTGTGTTATGTTATGTTATGCATTGAGTACAGTATATAACAAGCAGCTGTGCGTAAGTAGATGATGGACTGGTTCTTTAATTAGTTCTCAGCAAGTGTTTTAATTGGTGATGACAATGGATAAAATGTTTTTAATTGGTTCCTTTAAATACCAAAGAACTTGACAGCTTAATCTTTTTAAATATTTCAGAGGGGTGGAGAGATACTGAACTGCCAAAGAGAATGGAAACCTGATATGAGTTATTTACAAAAAATGTATTTTAGCCAACAGAGGCATCTTAGGGAAAGAGGCTGTTCTCCGGCTGGCTATGGCTGCTAAAATGGTTTTCCACCTCCTTTGTAGATACTACATCGGTCGGCGAATGTACGTGTTGGTGTCCAAGCCAGAGATGATAAAACATATCTTAGTGAAGGACTTCAGCAACTTCACCAACAGAATGGTAAGTTTGGTAGAAAGACTCTACCTCGTACTGTAAATTCAACACATGGGAGGCCACATCCTGCAGTCCTCAGGCAGGCCAAAGCTCACATAGATTTTGATGGGGTTTTCCTGAAAAAGAAGCTTCAGATCTGGCACTGAGTGTTTCAGGAAAACCAGCTTTAGAGAGAAGGATGGATGAACTGCTGAATAAAACTAAAGGAATGCAAATTTGACCACACATGTTAAAGAGAGAAATAATTGTTTTTTGGGAAAGGCACTGGACTGAGACTCAGGAGAGCTGGTTAAATTCCCACTCTGCCACTGACTTCTTGTGTCCCGTCACTTAATCTCTCTGTGTCTTATAAATGGGAATAATACTATTGTGGCATTCCCCAGGGTGCAACCTGAACTGCTGGACTGCTATGTCCCTTAGCTCTCCAACCTGGGATGCTTTTTACACTGCTTTGCTTGTGAACAGCAAACCCCTCTAAGCTCTGCTCATTCACAACCACTAGCATGTAAAGTCACTCCCAGATGAATACATGCATGTTATGCCCAGCCATCCATGAATTACATACAGGGTGACACCCGCATATCCCTCAGCCTTGGTTCCAGCCTTGGTTCCCAGAAATGTGGGTCTTATACTGTTCAGGACCCTCCTGGACAGTATAAACTCATAGATAGTCCATCATTCCAACAATGGGCAATGAATCTGCACCAGGCTTCTTGACTTAAGTAGAGATTCCCAAGAGCTTCAACCAAAACACACTGGTTTAGATCAAACAAGTTTATTAACTAGAGAAGGATAGATTTTAAGTGATAGATGCAAATAAGTCAGGATTGGTTACAAAAGAAATTAAAGCATAAACATACAAGCTAACTCCGAAACCCTACCAAGGCTAATCGGCTTAAAAGCAAAAGGTTTGTCTCACCATGAGCTGCAATACATTTCACAGGCTGCGTCCCTTTCCAGCCTCGGACCACTTCACCTCTTTATTCAGTTCTTTGAGAGTCATTGTTCTCATGAGCAGAGAGATGGAAGGAGCAGAAAGGTGGCTACGAACATTTCCCCCCACTTCTTATACCCCAGTTCTTTGTGCCATGAAAATCCTTGCTGGGTCATGGGGCAGGCAGTTTCATTGCATACATGAGCTCCAAACTGTCCTTCAGATGAACTGTAAATTTCTTGTTTCCAACTCTCCCCCACTGGAGAATGTCCAATTAAGCCAGTAATGGCTCTTTAGCACTTTGCTGGCATGCTAGGGTATCTTTGTCTCTGAGATATTGGTTTTTGGGCATTGCCCAGAACTACAATGTGTTTCAGTAACAATCATATAGCAAAATCTCATAATTTTACATGCAGTGTTGTCACACACATTTCAACTGGGTAATAATAATCTGCAGATTATGAGTTTTCAAATGATATCTCACAAGGCATACTTCATACAAAATATATCATATTGTTACAAAAGTGGTGAATGTGGGGTACAGGGTATCATATGAGGTACATGGTGTCACAACCTCCTTTACCACACCCTTTGTCTGTCTGCCGTGTCTATTTAAATTTGAATTCTTTGGGACAAGGGCTGTCACTTAAGATGTGTCTGTTCAGGTCTTAGCACAGTGGGGCTCTGATCACAGTTGGGCACTACCATAATATCAAACGACAAAGAATAAGGATATGTTTAACAAAGACATCTTTGTATGGAATGTTTAATTATTTGTTTCAGATCCAGTTCTAAATATTTTTTAAAAATATTTTAAAATGCTCTTCTTAAGGATTGTTTAGAACAAATAATAAAAAGGAAGCTACAAAGGGATAGCAAACATTTCTGGTATCCAGTAGACATTTTACAGGAAAATATGGCCACACTTGTTTTTTGGCTTAACCTGTTCCCTTCTTCTTCCTACACATTCACAAGTACTATAAGCCTGAACCAAGTCTGCTCAAGCCTGTTGAAATATGTTACATGATGGGTGGTCATAATTAATGACCCTTCGAACAGCATAAGATAATCTTCAGAAGTTAGAGAGCCGCAAGACATGCACAACCTGCTCTGCAGGGCAGCACCTGCTGGGGTACAGTCTTGTGCCCCAATACCCTCCTGCCGGGCTAAGGCCAGGAGACACCCCTCCGCCCTCCACAGGGCAGAAGCCCCAAGCTTCCCCCCCGCAGTCTGGTAGGTGGAAAATGGCGGGCATGGAGGGCTCCAGAAGCCGCACTTTAACTGTTAAAGAGCGACATGTGGCTCACAAGCCACGGTTTGGCCATGCCTGTGTTAGATATTCAGGAGGACTGTATGTTCTCAAGGGTGAAATTCCATCTCTGATCTACTATCCATCTCAACTCCCCGCTGCTCACTCTTCTTCTCTAATCTGCATGTTTTAATCATTGCCCATGTATACTGCTAGGTTCACCTGTGGACACCCTAATATTTTACTCTTCTATATCTCCTGTAACTTATTTTCTGATTTTCCTATCTACTCCGTGTCTGCCTGTAACTCTTGGCTACACTAGAAGCTCCTGCTGCTGAATGTTTCAAAGGCTGAAGTTCTCCTTGTGGGTAAAAAGTTCTCCCCACACTGTATTTTTATCTGAGAAACCCGCTGCTATTTCTCCCACAACAAGTGACCTGTCTCTTCCTGCCTACAACTTCCCTTCCCCATATTAGTTCCAGACAACTGACAATAATTAGATTCTACCCCATTTTCAGTATGCAGCCAGTTCCCCGTTGATGATTACCTGGAAATCAGGAAGGTTTCATACAGATATTAATTGTGTTTCTAATTAATTGTGTTTCGAATGCATCTGATGAAGTGAGCTGTAGCTCATGAAAGCTTATGCTCAAATAAATTTGTTAGTCTCTAAGGTGCCACAAGTACTCCTTTGCTTTTTGCAAATATAGACTAACACGGCTGCTACTCTGAAACCTTTCTAATTAGTCATCCTTGATATTTGAATCGTAAACTTCCCTCCCCTCTCTCAGCTTACTTGTCTGTCTTTCTATCGCCACTTCTCCAACATTGGCAGAATTTGTCTTTAAACCCATCTCTGTAGAAATTCTTATTCATTCTTTAGTTCTCTCCAGTTTGCATTTCCCTTTTTCATGGTCTCTGTAAACATCTGTGGAACTCTCTAAACTTATGGAGGTTCAGAACATTGTAAATTTACTCTCTTAGGAACAGGCGCTGACTTTCCAAAGTGCCGGGGGGGCGCTCAACCCCCAGCTGTGCCCCAGGCCCTGCACCCACTCCACCCCTTCCTCCAAGACGCCACCCTGCCCTGCCTCTTCCTGCCTCCGTTCCACCCCACCCCATCTCTTCCTGCTCCTGTTCCACCCCCTCTCCAAAGTGCGGCACTTCCTCACTCATCCTCCCACCCTCCCCCAGCTTCCTGCACGTTGCAAAACAGCTATTAGAGGCAGGCAGGAGGTGTGGGGAGGGAGGAATAGGCACTGATAGATGGGGCGCACTGGTGGGCAGGAGGCGCTGAGGGGCCTGTGCGGGAGCTGATATGGGGACTGGTGGTGGTGGTTCAGCACCCACCATTTTTTCCCTGTGGGTGCTCCACCCCCAGAGCAGCCACAGAGTGGGCGCCTATGCTCTTAGGACCATGCTGTTCCCTGTCTGGCTAGGTACACATATAGCTCCCATTGCTATAGTGTCTGAGCAATCTCCTAAGTATTTATGGATTTAGTCTCACAATACCCCAACGTATCACTATTTCCATTCTGCAGATGGGGAATTGAGGCACAGATGAAGTGATTTACTCAAGCTCACACAGGAAGCATATGGCAGAGGAGGGAAAGAACGCAGGTCTCCTAAATTCCAGTACCTTGCCCACAAGACCATGCTTCCTCTACCCTTTGTCATTATTGCTGGTTTGTTGGATGACTGAATCGAATTGAAAATACCCTTCCTTGGGCTTGCTTCATTTACTTCTGAGCTTTTTATCTACCTGTTCTCCTGCTTGCTCATGCATTTCTAATCTTGGAGGTTTCTATCTCCCACCCTTCACTTTGTCTGCTGTCCACCTTCTTCCATCTATCATTCCTCACAATGTAGGATGGTCAGCCTTCTACTTAGGACATGGCTACACAGGGACATCCAGGAAAATTAATCCAAATTAACTAAAGGAGTGAATTTGAAGCAGATATTTAAACCACATTAAACCTCTGTGTGAATACCCTCATTCACAATGAAAGTGATCTTAATTTTGTTTGGCTTAATTCACTTCCAAAGCATCCATACAGGAATTTAATGCAGTTTAGCTAATCGGTTTCAAATTCAGACCTTTAGTTAATTGGGATTAATTTTCCTGCATGTCCCCATGTAAACAAACACTTTACTCATCCACATCTATCTGAAACTGGTTGTTTCTGTCTTACCTATTTCTTTTCGTGGAATTTCACCCAGAAAGCTTCGTTTCCTCTTTAGCTCACACTTGATTCTCTCAGTGAAGTGTTTTGTGATGCTGTGTATTAAGGATTCTATATAAAAAATAAATAGTATTGAATTGTATGTAAGACAGGTCATTTGAGTTTATTCAAATGTGATTTTGTATGTGTGAATAATGGTTGCAGAGGGACAAAAGCACTTTCCAAGTAATAGAAGCCTTTTTCTCGTTGCCTGCACAGAGGTTATTTTAAAGCTTTTAAGGGAGTGCTTCTGTTTATACTTTAGAAAATTACTGAAAGCAAGGTCCTTCTCTACTTTATTAACAATTTCTACTTGCTAGTGTAGAATTTAAAATGCAAAAATAATATTACTCTGGGTTATTTTCCCCCTAAATGTTATGCTGATGAAATTTAGAGACTAAAGCATTGGCTTTTGAGTAAGCACTATGCACAAAGCTTTGCTAATGCCAGCTCAGTCCTAACATAGAACATTCCTGCTGTTCCAGTCTCTTGAGCTGAGGCTGTGAGTCTTGTAGTGGTTTTCTGATGCACTTGAACGGAAAGTAGGACAAAATCACCAAGCATTTTTTTCACACGTCACCAAAACCAGGAGGCAAGTCCA